ATTCTGATAACAGAGTAGATAGAAAATCCCCTCTCCACCTCTGCCGTGCTAGTCGGAATGGGAACTAGCTTTGCTAGTAAGTCCATCAGATTTTTGATAACGATGGCATAACTTTCAATACAAAGCATATTTTTTACACAAATATGCAACATTTTAGATTCCTCGTCAATGTTAATAACGATGGATGAATGTCATCAACAGCACACTTTTCACTAAAAAAAAACATAAACATATAAGAACGATTAGCACGCTGTGCTGACAATAATGGGATAACTTTCAATCAAAAGCGCATTTTTTACTGGAAAAACATAAACATATAACAACGATGAGCACGCTTAAATAGACGCGTTCGCTTAGGTTCCTACGAAGCGGATATTCGGATCGGATCGGGCATGGAGCCAGACCTCCCTCGACAGCAACAAGAAGAGCAGGCACCAGTGCCGAATGAACAGCAGGAGCAGCAGCGCGATCAACAGCACCACCGCCCGGAACAGCAAGCCGAGCCACCGCGGCAAAGGCCCCCATTTCGAGTGGGAGGCTTTGAATAATCAGGGCGGCGTTAATTTTGGTGACCCGGCCCTCTGGTAGGGGCCGCTGGGACGACTGGAACAGGATGGTCCGCAAGGGAACCCGTGGAGCAGAAGGAGAGTGTCGGTATAGATTTTTTTCTTGCAATGTTAATGAAGCGTTTTTTCCTTTTTTTTTGTCTAATTTGATGCATATAGATTCTTTTTGTGTGCACTAAAATATCTCTTCTTTGTTTTTGGAAGTTAGTCATCTCGTATTCCTTAACCAAGGTTCTTTGTGATAATCTCTCAGGTCCCTATGATAACCTCCTCTTCTCGGCATGAAGTGACCTTCGCAAATCATTCCGGATTAGTCTTCTCACGAGTGTTTGTTAAGAGCTAAAACTGAGCCTCGGTTTCTCTATATCCTTTTTGCATGAAGTTTCAAACTGGAACCCAGGCTGGGGTCACGTGGAAGATACTAAAGAATAACGCTCTTTTTCTCTCCAGCTGGCATCTGTGACCAGATCGAAAGCAAAACAAAAGGCCGAATCTCCCTTTAGTACTCCTGAGCGAGTCAGGAAGAAGATTCTGCAGCAACAGCTACGAGAACTCGAGGAACAGCTTAAACAAGAGTACCTAAGCCTAAGTCCCTTTAAATTGAAGCAGAGATGGCTCAAAACGAGCAAGACGGATTTGGAGCTCAGCAAAATGAACAACAGAACCAACAGAACCAGCAAGCGCAGGGTCAACAGCATCAGCAGCATCCGCGGGAACGTCCCCACGAGCTGGACAATCCTATTTACCGATCATACAAAATTCTTAATGACCGGATTGAGAAATTCTCCGGTGTTGGAGATTGAACTTCTAAGAAGTTCCTCGAGGAATATGTGGATGCAGTAGAGAGGCTTGATATTTCGTATATTAACGCTAAAAGCCTGTTGCCCAAGCTCCTCTCGGGATCCGCAAAAGTTAAATATATCTCCATAGAGGATGCTAACACCATAGAGTGGGATGTTTTAGTCCTCCAGCTAGCAAAGAAATGTAAGAATGAAGCAGTACTTAGTAATATTCGAGATGAACTACATGGTCTCACCCCGGGAAAGGATTCGGTTAGAGAGTTTGCGCGTAAGGTCTTGGCGAAAGCCAAGGTGGCCTATCAGGGACAAGACAAGAAACTGATATCGCAAATCGCCATTGACGTCTTCATCAAGGGCTTACGAACCAATATAAGGAAAGCCATTCGCAGCTTCCGATATCTTACAACATTATTTACCACCAGTGCGTCACCTCTGCTTCGCAGAGGCTCGCACTGATCTTACTTCATATGCCTTACTCATTCTTGACTAATGATGGCAATGAAACTCACCACGCAGTGCCGATCATCGCGAGTAAAATATAAACAACTACCCATTTAAAATGCTTTTTCATGTGAGATCGGTGATTTCGCGTGGATGAAACTTTTTGCAGAAGAACAAATACGAATTTGAATAGGATTTTGGACTTGTTAGCTACCATAAGGAATAGTAGGCAACGTGAGCTACATCTCTGTGCAAAATTTTTCTCGAATGCTCAGGTAAAACCATGGCAAATCAATCACTTACGCAAACATTTCTTTTTGGCGTCGTTCTCCTAAAGTAGTGAACTTTTGTCCACTATTTTGGACTAAAGTCCATGGCTTGCACATCAGCATGCCAAACACATCCCCGATTTTGCAAAAAGTGGTAATACGGAATCAATTTTGCTGGCCAGAACCCAAGTGGTTCCGTTTGACGCGCAGTTTCTGAGGGATCCAACCAACAAAACCATTCGTGCTTTTGCACGGTAGGCTCTTATGTTGGTCGCATGCGATGTGCAAAATTTCGGCTCAGGACGTTGGCTGGAACTCGCTCTACGAATTTCGTTACAGACAGACACACAGACATACACACACACATACACACACACACAAAAACACGTAAACAACCTTAGCCCGTTATTATAAGTTATGATTAGCTTGCTCCACCCAGCTCCACCAATGTATTGGCTTTTATCGGTCACCGGAGCAAGTGCTTTTCAGAGCCGCGGAGCAAAGAAGCCCTAACATGCTTTATACCCTTCGAAAGCTGACATCAATGAGAATCGACGTGACCGTCGCCTCTTTTCTAGGTCTTCTGTGTCGCGAGATATGAGGGATTTTATGTACTTCAAAAATCAACTGATTTTGTGTCCTCACTTACCGTCGCAATATACCCAAAAGAATTGTAGCTTTAATACAAAGAAGTGTTGATTATAATACTAAAATAAGATTGATTAATTTTCATGGAACTGTAACGCTCAGGGACGTATTTTTGAATGCTCGGAAAGAGTTTGTGCTTCTGTAGATGCATTTTTTCAACAAATCTTATATATAAAGCTGAATGTCTGTTTGTCTGTCTGTATGTCTGTATGTCTGTCTGTATGTCTGTCTGTACGTATGTTCGAATAGAAAATTCCATTTCTGAACCGATCCGGACCAAACTTGGCACACATACACTACGGGCCTCGGCGGGTGTCATAGGCTACTTTTCGTCATCGATCGATATCGATTTTATCGATTTTTTGCAAAGTTTGAGCTACGGGGCTGGGATTTGGCACAGGGGGGGGGGTAATCGAGCATGCTAATCACCCCCGTGGGGGTGATCAGCATCCTCGATTACACCCCTCTGCCAAATTCCAGCCCCGTAGCTAAAATTTTGCAAAAAATCGATAAAATCGACATTGATCGAAAACGAAAAGTGGACTGTGACACCCGCCGGGGCCTGAAGTGTATGTGTGCCAAGTTTGGTCCGGATCGGTTAAGAAATGGAATTTTCTATTCGGAACATACGGCGGAGCCGGGTAAGCCAGCTAGTAAATAATATGATTAAACATAAATACCGTTTTTTTGTAAATTTATGAGTGTACTTGTTGTTTGAGGTACTTAGCCTGCAAAACCTTTTAATAACGATTTTTATTTTATATTTTCAGAGTACAATACCAATCTCAGCCCACTCAGGTAATCGCCGTGGGCAGGCGGTCCGCAAATTCGCGCTTTTCTGCAAGCGGTCAGCAGAACTTTGGGGCGTGGCCAAACCTTCAGCGAGCGGTACTTCCTTTACTGTCTAATGTTCTGCCAGCGGGCAGCAACACAGAATTTTCTGCAGGCGCTCGTCAAATAATCTTTTTAGCAAGCGCTGGCCGAATTTTCAGCAGGCGCTCGGACTCTTTTTACGCAGTTTCGGGCTTACGTCGAGCACAGGTAGGACTCTGTGTGGCAGAGGTGTCACCGTTGGTTTAATTACTCAAGTTTGAGGTACTTTCTCTCAGCGGAAAGTACCTGGGAGCTGCGCGTCCTCCACAAAGGACCGTGCGGCTCTCGAAAATTTTGCATATTCTCGCGGAGAGTCCGCGAGAATGCGGCCACTGCGCCGCATCTAATCTATAAGGAAACAGCGATTGTTCTCCAATCATTCATCTAGAATTTCGCTAAAATTCTTCTAAATATCTGCAAGCGAACCGCAAGAAATCAGCGAACTATTTTTCCGGTGCCCGCCCGCCCATGAATCGCTTGACCGCCTGCCCCCGGCGATTATCTGAGCAGGTGAAGGGGGTCATCCGGAGTTTGGTCTCAGAGTGAAGGGGTAAGATCCATCACTCCCCCCATCGCAACTATGCCGTAAAGGTTACACTTTGTTCTTCGTGAAATTTGGTTGTACCACATAAACAGCCGTGCAGCTTTACAAATTTTGTCTTTGAAGTATACCGTTTCAGAACCTCAGAACAAAATTTCTTAAACATTCGGAATGTAATACTAACTTATAGTGCTAAGCTGATGACTTCCATATTGATTGTACACTATTGAAAAGCACTGGAAATTTTACTTTGTACTAGGGTCAAGAATGAAGATACCCGCACAATCCCGTGTCTAAACACATACGGTAGCTGTTGAAATAGGAGAGTTAAGAACAATCAGATACCAAATCCAAACTTGGTACAGTTTCATAGAACTGCAGCTGTTCTGCCGCTTACAAATTCGAAAAACATCAGTAAATATTGTTAGCCGAAGCGACCGTTTAAATAAAGTGCTTGTCTCTAGACTCAGTATCAGATAGATATTTCAAATCTTGCATTTTCATCTCCGTAATGTTTCTCTGGAAAAAACAGTGGCCATCCAAGGATCAATGTTCAGTACACGCCGCTCTCACTGCGCCAATGTTCCGTCTACAACGTGTCGCATGTGCTCGTATAGCATCGTAGTTGAAACCTCAACCTTTTCAAAAAAGCCTTCCGCACATAAAATTGAAAGTTTTAAGACCAGCATATATCAATGACTTTAGTAACATACATCTCGCTTCAAAATACCAATTCTGCCAGAAAAATTTTTCTCGTTAGCTTTATGAGCTGTATCTCTACGGATCGTTAACTTATAAAGTATCTTCTTCAGTTCAAATCTAATCAGAAACATGTCGGAATCACACGTAAAGTAAGTTTATTCATTCCACAGCTCAAAAGTGAGTCATAAAACTTTTGAGCCACCTTCTCAGAAGTTCGCGTATCTTGCGCATACTGGAGCCACTTCGTCGCGTTGAAGAATGTAACAGACAGAGGCGTTTGTAGTGCATTGGTGTGAACCAACTCCAACGCTGTAGAGGGAGCAACTTCCTTCCTGCAATGGAGTAACCTAGAATAAACCTTCCCGCTTTGGTACCTAAGATGATCCATGTTTCAAATGTCTCGTGCTTTTCTACCAAACACTTTCGTATTATTCATATTGGTAAAATCTCGCTAGTTTGGGCAATCATTTCTCAGCGCAGAACAAGCTATATAGGATGGCATTCGAGTACTTGCACATTGTTTGATCACCGAGATTCGCCATGGTCTGAAGACTAGGGCCTTCGTTGTTATGCATTTAATCCCCACCTCAAACATTCGTCATACTCACTGCTCATCCTTACAATTTTAGCGCTTTCTAAGGTACGCATCGCAGTTACGTTAGAGCACACTAATGTCGTGTTATACTCTTGGACAACAAGCGCTTCGGAGATTTGGCTACAACCATGAACGTGTAAGTGCGATTATGCGCTTAGAGTTATTTTCTAAGGATCCCCCTTATTATCATGACTTATAATAACGGGCTAAGGGTGTTTATGTGACTTTGTGTGTGTGTTTGTGTGTCTGTTACGAAATTCGTGGAGCGTGTTCCAGCCAACCTCCTGGACTCAAATTTTGCACAGAGCATGCTACCCGCATAAAAGTCCAATACGCAAAAGCACGAGCAGATTCGTTGAGTTGATCCCTCAGAAATTGCGCGCCAAACGGGTCCACCTGGCTTCTGTACCGCAAAATTCAGTCCGTATCACCCTTTTTGCAGAGTCGTGGATGAGTTTGGTAAGCAAATGTGCAAGCGATGGAGTTTAGCCAGAAAAGTGGTCGAAAGTTTACTACATAACGAAAACGGCGCCAAAATGAATTGGTTGTGTAAATGGTCAACTTGCCAAGGTTCTAGCTAAGCGTTTGAGAAGATTTTCGCACAGAGATGTAGCTCACGGTTACTATTACCTTTATGGCGACTACCAAGCCCATGACAAATCCAAAAACCTATTCAAATTTGCGTTTGTCTTCCTGGGAGAAGTTTCATCCACTCGAAATCACCGATCTCACGTGAAAAGACTTTCTAAATGAGTGGTTGTTTACATTTTATTCGTGGTAGTCGGCATAGCGCAGTGAGTTCCAGTGCCACGATTTTACGGGAATGAGTAAGGCACATAGATAGTAGAGCCAGTGCGAACCTCTGCGAAGCAGAAGTGACGCACTGGTAGATCATTAATCCTCGATGATTGGAAACTAACCTTGTACGTTAGTGCGGTGCAGTTCATGTCCCCATAGCAAGCAGCAAAGCACTGATTCTCATTTGCTTGGAACCAGCGGAGAGATTTACCGAGAAATTCCTCCACCTTATCGAAAATGCAAGACGAATTGAATTCTGCCTGAAAGCGAAATGACAGCCGTTGACAAAAGGAAGGCGAGAATAACTGCTTTGGTAATGAAAATGCACCTGAATAAAGAGCAGAACGAAGGCAAGCCACTTCATTGCCGAGTTGCAGAATAATAGCGGACTCTGCGATCGTGGGTTTTCAATAGCGTCATGATAGCCTCCTAGATACCATAAGTCTGGCAATAAAAGTTTGTTTCTAGGGGAGATGAATCCACCAAAACTAGGTTTCCTAGATACGTTGAGTTTTACCATTGTTGAAGCTGCATCATTACTCATGAAGTTAGTAGTCAGGCTGTGATGCGAAATTGAGGAGCACAGAAAAATATGAACATATAGTAGCCCTAGCCTTCAAGAGCAGTCTATCAACTGACGTTGTCAATGCACTACAGTACATAGAGAAGGATGAAGAGGGGGGGGGGAGAAGAGAGGAGGACTTAGGTCTTGTTTGAACCTGGCTTTTGGAGTTAATTAGCTTGCCGGATAAGGAGTGCGCACTTCACAGTTAGCGCCTTCTTTCGTGAAAATACGGTAACTATACAATGTCTTATTTCTACTCTGACAGCAGTTGAATATAATAGTCATGTGCAGCAGGTCAAACATCCTACTATCGAAAAATCCTGAGTTTCTGATTTTTTGAAGGTTGATGCTCTCGGCAACTTAGGAACACTTCTGAACATCAGGGTTAGTGAACAGCGAGCAACATCGATTAATCAAGTTCACAAGGCTCAAGCGGGTCACATCTTGATGTTCGGACGCAGCTAGAGCGCGTTATCTCGCAATATTATTTTTGCTATATCCCTACTTGTCTCACATTATATGTATAGAAAAGTCCATGTAGGTTTTAAAGAAGTGAATTAAACACATTCAAAACTGTCAAATCTATCACAATTTTCTAAAAACGATATAAAGAGAGATAGAAATATGTATTATTATTGTCTTTTGATCGGCTTTGAACCTTCGAGCGCTATAGCCATTCCCTCATTTCTAAAACATGTTTTGATATTTTTTTATTATACGAAAAGCAAGCAAAGGTTAAAAGAACTAGAGCAGTTTGATATCTTGAGATTCTGCTGCAGCAGCATAATACGTACGGAAAGATGTCAGTATGTCGGCCAAGATTCCTTAACACATCCGATCCTTTCGGTGAACCTAAAAACACAGAATCAGTTATTTTCTCTGTACTAATACAGAATGTTTGAAAAGTTCGTGTCCTTAGGCACTTCAACTGCAAACGCTGACTCAATTTTTGCTATGTGTGTTTGCCAGACCTAGAAACCACTGAATCAACAAAGAAAAACATTTTTTGCCTCAGCATACCCCAAAAAATTTGGAAGTAAACTATTTTTTCAGCTTCCTTAAAGAGTGCGTTATCTGACTTGTTCTTTTTTTTTCAACACCGGAAAAGGGAAACAGCTTTTGATTTCTTTTACTACAAATAGTCCTAGATTTACACTTTCTTTATATAACAAAAATTCTTCAGTAGCTTGCTAATGAGGATTTTTCTATGCGCTAAATCACAGAGGAAGTTGCGGCACCCGTTTGCGTTGAAATTTTTTCAGTTTGAAAAAATTTTGGAAGTCTTATTTCAATATGTACTTGTAGCACAACTCTCTGACATTCGTTATATTCGTTTTCAAAAATTTTGCACGCTTGCAAAGGTTATGAAGATAAAATATAAAAATTTCGGTTATGGACTTTTTGACGAAAAAATCCTGAAAGCGGATCTCTTGCCTTTCAAAGGCCCGATAATTCAACGAACTTACTTCTACAAAAGTAAAAACACATTCAAGAAACCTTAAAGAATGGGCTTTCAGCAGGTTCACCAAGTTTTTTTGTGAATTATGTTTCCTTTTTTGTAACAAGCGATTTGAGGAAAGAGGTTTGGAAAGCTATACTGATGTGTTTCAATCTAATAAAAAATCAGAGAAACCGCGAAGAAACTTGATTTCACTAAGGTACTTAGGTTTGATGATCACAATAAAACAAAAAGCGAAATCCAAATCGGAAGTACTTTAGGACACGAACTTTTCAAACACCCTGTACTTGTCACTGGAAGACGTAAGTGAGCTACATCTCACTTTCTGGTAAATGCCATCTTCAATTGAGCCTTCCGCAACAAATTCGTGGACTAGTAGGAGTTCTTATGGGACATCTAAGGCTGGAAGAGGAAAATATGCCAGTCACCGAACCTATTTTTTGAAACATCAGTCTTAGAAAAAATTCCGTGAACCTTACATGCTTTAACTAAAAAATTTTATTGTATTTTTTTCACTTGCCATCTCCTTCTCAAAAAGCTTCTCAGTCTAACTTCGCTCCGCTTCTCGATATATTAGGTCGTTCCGAAAGTAATGTCGCTTTTTTTCGAATGAACGCCACTATTCGTGGAATCAATATTTTTGAAAGATCTTAGAAGCATTCGATGCAGCATTTCATTCTTTTTCTAGTGGTTGCAATTTCGCTGCATAATCTTCAATGAGCTCTCGAAAAATTACCAAAATCTGCGGCTCATGCTTTATGCCATGGTCAAGTTCGGCTATTTTTCTAAATTTTTGTACCTAATCTCTTAAAAAGTACAAGTAGCAGGTAGATAGAGCAAACACTATAGAACATAGCTTAATTTTTTCTTTTCCTCAGCTTGCTTCTCAGAGTTACTACAATCAATTTCTCAATGCCATCAAATTCCATATTTGGTCAACTCAAACCTCACAGGACAACAACCGGCAAGCAGCTCGGGTGTCATTCGACGCAGCTTTTTCTCCTCTCTCCACCAGTTGTTTTCTGTTCCCGATTTATCAAGTTTTCCGGGATAAAATCATCATAATTCAGGTTTTCCAGGACTCCCCAGGCTGTACCCGGAATTTTCGAAAGCTGCTAATTTGAAGCGGTGAATGCTCATTTGGTTAGTAAAATTAGTGCTAAACCATAATTCATCTTTGTATGCTTCAAAATCCGAAATTTATTGGTGTTTGACGCATTTGTGTCTGAGACGAGCTTGCTAAAATTCGGCGGTTCCATCGAAAAATCTGAACAAAAATTATGATGAGCTCTAAAAAGTAGAAAAAAGTTGTGCTGTTTCTTGTATGGTTTGCTCCATCCATCCATTACTTGGACTCCTTCTAAGGTTTGTTACAAAATTTTAGAAAAATTGTGAAACTTGGCCATCTTAAAAAGCATAGGTCGCAGATTTTGACTCTTTTCTGGAAGCTCATTGACTGTATTGCAACAGCTTCATAACCGTTAGAAAAAGAATGAAATGCTGCATCGGATGCTATCGGAATCTCTTACATATCTTTGTTCCACGAGATGTGGCATACGTTTGAAAAAAGCGACATTACTTTCGGAACGACCTAATATAATTAACTACTTTCCAGATATGATTTTCGAAAACTAGAATGCAAAAAATGCAAAAAATGGAAAAATGCATATTCTTGCAATCTTGGCGAAAGACAATTTGAGCAACACTTGTATTCCAAGATAAAACAAAATCTTGAAAAACCCTAACGTAGCTAGTGGTGTGTAATATGCATAAGCGTGTTAGTGAGCGGTTCCAAAGTATGTGATCTCCTTTCGCTCAAGCGCTTTTCGTAACTTCTGACTACCGAAAGACTTCAACTTATAGCAATCGACAGCATAACAGAGCCTACAACTTTGAGATAGCTGCAAACAGTTCAAAATTACCTAAACAAATTTCTCAAAATAAGCAATCGACGTCCTCTGCGTACTTGTATTTAACTGATACACAAAATGGCTCTGACCAAACCGTCATCGTATCCAAGTGGAGCTAAAAAAAAGCCCTTAGAAAACAGTTGTAAGTACAAAAATTACAATACAATTCACGTTCTGGTAGGCCAGACCCTCGTATGACATAGCTTAAAAACATGTTGACCGACAGTCGTATGCAACAAATCGAAAGTGAAGGGACGCGGTGATCGATCTGTCGTGTTGATTGACGTGCGGCCGTGTTTGTTTTTTCTCTGATTATTTGTGTTTTTCTCGCGTTTTATTTCCACCAGTTTTTTTTCTTAGCCTTCCCCTCGGTTCGCTCCTATCTTGAACCGATCTTCCATCGCTGTTTGGACTTTTTATTGTTTTTTTTCGTTGCTGGTCTCACCCTCAGCTAGGTTAGGTTGTCCTTGCGCCTGCCGTTTCGATTATTGAATATTGTAGATCACACAATGTCTCCTCGTGTAAGGTCAGAAAAAGTCCAGGGATCTAAGGGGTCATTGCAAGTTCTGCCACCTGCGCACGATAGTGGGACCAACAATGAAGCAGGGACGCAAGGAGATGATTATAGTGGAATGTCTGTGCAGGATTTGATTGCGTCGATCTCTGCACTGAACAGGGACCCCACTATACAGAAAATGCTCTGCGCCTTGTCTGAAAAAATATCTAAAGGTTTGTCCGAGACACTGGAGGCGGAGAAACGCTCTCGGAGCGTGGTGATAAGTGGAGTGCAGGAACCTCCGGAGGGGTTGCGTCCATCCCAGCGTCGGGCGTATCTTCAAGAAAAGGTTGCGGATGTGCTCGACGCTGTGGATGTTGACTGCACCCCTTCGGAGTTTTCTGGATGGGGAAAAAGAGCGACTCACATCAGCGCCTCATAAAAGTAGTACCGCCCTCCGGTTTTTACTGGAGGAGGGCGCTGGCTAACGCTCGGTTCCTCCGTCATGCTTATCCAAACGTGTACATACGGAAAAGCATGACGGAGGACGAGCGTAAGCATGAGTATGAGCTAAGAAAGGTGGCACGCGAGAGAAACAAAAATAAACCTACCCGCGAATGGGTGGTTTATAGAGGCCAGTTGGTGCGCACATCCGAGCTGAATAGGACAAGATCGGAAAACGCATAGATCGGCATGGTACTCAAGATAGAATGAAGGTCTGTCTTTTGAATGCTAGAAGTTTGTTGAAGAAACTCCATCATCTACAGTCGTTTTTAACTCTATATAAACCTGACATCCTTTTTGTTACTGAAAGCTGGCTAACGGATAAAGTTTGCGATAGTGAAATTGTAGGGAAATTACCGTACCTTGTCTCACGGTCAGACAGACATAAACGTAGGGGTGGCGGGATCTGCTGCATATCGAAGAGCACTCTTTTGATTGAATCTACTTTCTCTGATAGCAGTACAATGTCGAACATTCTTGGCGTCGATATATCGTGCCCTGATGAGCCTACATTTTTGCGATTTCTTGCAGTTTACCGGCCTCCCAACAGTACGCTTGTAAACGATGAACACCTTATCGAACTGAT